ACCAAAGAAGTGTGGACGAATATTTTCAACATCTCACTCTCACCGACTGTGGTGCCTTACGACTCATTCTGATAGTTATGAAATGCTTTGCTCTCATAAACACAAAAGTGGAAACTCCTATGTCAGGTTTTCAGGAATAGCGGCAGACTGGTGTGGGAAACATAACCTCTGTATCAGTTGGACGTGGAACATTAACACCTCCAGCATGATTAACCTTAAACCTAACCGTGAGGCAGCCCTGCCTTAACACCTCAGTGCCGGCAGCAGGTGTGTGGTGGAGAGTACAATTACTTTCTTTATCACCACCTTGTACAGCAACTGCTCTACTGCTGACAGGAAGTTACTGAAGAAAGTAATGAAAGCTGTGCAGCTACCTCCTCTCCTTCCCCTTCCATTGAGGACATTTATCTCAGCAGGTGGGAGTAGTAGTGCCTTGGATCATGAGGGAACCCACCAACCCAGCAGAGTACCAAGGCCATAAGTCACAAGGCTCAAAGGCAGCTTCTTCCCTGAGGCTGGAGGACTGGTCCACTCCATACATCAGTGGTTGCACTTGCACTGTTTTGCCCTGCTCAGTTATTAATATGTCTTGTTTTGATCATATTCTCTATTCATTATTTTTTAAGACTTATTCTTAATGATAGGTTTTTGTCTTGTATGTTGAGGGAGGACAAATTTTATTTTCACGTGGAAGCCGTAAATGACGATGAAGAAACACTCACGCTATCTGGAGGGCTCGTGTCCCCAGCACTCTGGCCCTCTCGTATTTGGTCATGTACGGAGTTGTGATCCTCTTCTGGTTTGCCTGCTGGCCCTCCCCCGCGGGCAGGATCTGCACGTTCTCCTGGTCATCCTATTCACCAGAAAACAACCGACAAAAAACACGATACAAAGGCAGCGATCAGTAGTGCTAAAAATAAAACTGACGACAAACAACAAAAGCAAAGCAGTGTCTGTGCTGTCCAGTTAAGAGAGTCATCAACTTACGTCTTCCACGTTTTCGAGATCATCTAATCCCTCATCCTCCTCGGCATCATCAAAATCTCCATCATCGAAGCTGCAAATATGACACAAAGTTTTGTTTTTAAAGACAATAAATAGATTCTAAAGACAGCAAATTGTCAATAAGTTTATACAGAGCACTTAGCAGTGTGGCTAACCGCGTTAGCTACAATGCTTGTTCGCGACAAGTTATAATAAAGAAACAAGCATTTTAATATGAATTTAATCAAAGTGGCAACATTACTTACTTATCTTCGTTGTCGGACATGTTTTAACCTAAAGTTTACGTACAATATTACTCAAACAGTAGAAGAAAGTCAACACACTTTGTTGTTAACACGGACCCACATGAACGCTACGAAGCTTAAACTTCCGGTGGTTTGGTGCGCTGGAAAATATTCCGGATGAAAAACAGGAAAAGGAACTTTCTTTCCACTTGTACTCCAGTACAATTACATTTATTTATTGTTTTTAAATCCCAAAAAACAAACAACAACAACAAAACGTTGATTGTTGTAATTAAAATAAATAAATAAAATTCGCCATTTGTCGTACGAGCGGTATTTCTGTCTTTTTCTCTCTTTATTTTTTACAGCCCTGTCAATGAGCCTGTAGCTTTTTATGACCCCTAATTTTACTGCAAAATAAAATACAACAGTATTAATACAGGAAAACATTCTTTTTGAAACTATGAGAAATAGATAATTTTCTTTGTTAACATAAATGCAGCTGCTTAAATGCAATTTAGCCTGGGTTTCGTTTAGACTTGACATCCAACACGTTTTTCTCCCTTTTTCATTAATGTTCAGA